TCCTTTTTGCATCATGGCTGCATGGAACATTTGTTCCTAGAAATTGACATTAGGGGTACCAAACTCATCCTCGGAGTCATATACTGCCTTCCTTCCATTGATTTACTTTTCTGACCTTGAGGCGTTGATTGATTCTTTTGCCATTGATTATAATCACCATATTATTATGGGTGACTTCAATACAGACCTTTTAATTAATTCACCCTCTTCACGAAAGCTTCATTCTTTAATTACGTAGGCAAACTTCTCCTTTTTACATCTTAATCTTTCTCATCATAATCTCAATACATCCGATTCGTGGATTGATCACATTATTGTATCTTCCTCAGATCGTGTCGTTAAATTCGGTCAAATCTCTGCCCCTTGCTTCTCCAGACTCGATCTTATTAATGTTGCATATGATGTGAAGCCTCCCAAATCGAAGCCTAAAATGATCTCCATTCGGAACTTTGCGAGGATGGATACGGAAAACTTAGGCGTGATGCGAGTTTAATTGAATGGTCTCCCATTTGAGAAATGCCTCTGCCAACGACATGGTCACCTACTTAAACACGGAGGCTCTTAAGTTATTTGATAAGCACGCACCTATAAAAAAAAATCAAATTAAGACGTCCTCCGGCGCCCTGGTTTACACCTGGAGTGTGTATGGCCATGCGAAAGCGTGACAAAGCTTTTCGCATTTATAAAAGATGCCGCACTAATTTGCATTGGATTTCGCTCGCTTTTAGGATTTCTAGAAATCGTTGCAATCAGATGGTAAGAAAAGTTAAACGCCATTACAGTCATAAGAATATCCTGGAATCTTCTCCTGCGGATACTTGGAAGTTTCTCCGTACCCTTGGCATTGGTAAATCACAACTTGGGCATAAGCCGTCTTTGCCGTTAGATGAGCTACATAAACACTTCTCATCTATTAAGCCTCATCTTAGCAATGCCAAACTTTGTACTATCTGTGCTCTTTCTTCTGTTTCAAATTCTTAACTGAGGATGAATTCCGAAAGACAATTCTATTAATGCTGTGGGTTATGATAATATAAGTCGAACTATGATCACTTCAATGCTAGATTTTGTACTTCCTGTCTTGACTTATATATTTAATTTCTCCCTAACATCTGCATCTTTTCCTGAACTTTGGCGTAAGGCCTTAATTATCCCTCTACCTAAAAACAAAATTCCCACTTTGCTTAGTCACTATAGGCCTATTCCTATTCTACCATTCTAATCTAAGATCATTGAAGCCGCAGTCCACAAACAACTTACTTCATTCATTAATTCTAATAAACTTCTTTGCCCTTTTCAAACTGGTTTCTTTCCCGGCCATAGTACCACTACTGCTCTCACCAAAATAGTGAATCAATCTTAACTTACCCTCTTAATATTAGACAATAACTGAAAAAATATATGTACGATGATTAATAGAAAACTATCTAAGATATCAAGGACCATTTGCGTACTTACACTGTAGTACAGTCAATCTGTCGAAAAAAAAATCGTTTCAGTGAAAAAAAAACCTAAAGGGTTAGTCTTGTTTTTTCTGTTGCCAAATGACGTTAGGTAGCCACCTTGGCGATGGGCATGTTCAACTCGTAGGCGTTTTTTGAAAAACTCAAAAAAACCCTCAAAAGTTTTATGAAACGCATTTTTCTTGTTTTGTATGCATTTTAGAAACTTTTTTTTCGACCATAATTGTAGAGGGCGTTGAGTACTACAATTTATGTCATTATTGCAATCTCGTACAACAAAAAATGCGCATTGTAGGTGGCGCTAAAGTCTCAAAAAAAGTGTTTTTTCACTTTTTCACCCTGAAAATATCATTTTAATGGAAAACTTTAAATGAAAAAGTTGTTCCGTGCATTATATTACCAACAACTTTTGTATAAACAATTTTTTTGTATTACTTACAGTTTTCATGTTACAGTGCAATACAGCGCTACGTATACAACACAGTGAGTGCCAACACAGTGGGCCAATTCGGCCATCTGCTCTATTCACAAAGTACATTAGTAAATTATTACAATCATGAAAAAAAAAATAGTAAAACGTACATTGAAATGTGCACTGCAAATGTGTACTTGAACTGCCCAAAACCGCTCTATTGGATTTTTCATACCTGCGCAATTTATAACTTGAAAACGGTAAGTAATACAAAAAAATTGTTTATACAAAAGTTGTTGGTAAATGTACGGAACAATTTTTCCATTTAAAGTTTTCCATTAAAATGATATTTTCAGGGTGAAAAAGTGAAAAAACACTTTTTTTGAGACTTTAGCGCTACCTACAATGCGCATTTTTTGTTGTACGAGATTGCAACACTGACATAAATTGTAGTACTCAACGCCCTCTACAATTATGGTCGAAAAAAAAGTTTCTAAAATGCATACAAAACAAGCATAATGCGTTTCAAAAAATTTTTGAGGGTTTTTATGAGTTTTTCAAAAAACGCCTACGAGTTGAACATGCCCATCGCCAAGGTGGCTACCTAACGTCATTTGGCAACAGAAAAAACAAGACTAACCTTTAGGTTTTTTTTTACCACTCAACCTACAGATTGACTGTACTACTGCCATCCCAACGGCTTTATATTTATAAATAATAGTTTTGCGAACTTCAGACTACGTCACTTGCGAAAATTGCCTGCTATTTGAAGGTTGATAACATAGATAAGCGATTTCCTAAAGAAGAACTGTCTGAGAAATGTTTGTTGATTTCATTAAGAGAAAACGACCGAGGAAAAGAAACATATTATGACGTAATTAATCCAAGACACCTAAGAAATTTATAAATGAATAGGGATGAATGAACATTGAAGAATATTATAATGGATATATCACAAATATAACAGCTCTCATCATCTGATTATAGCGGATTCTCTTGGTTTTGAAAGAGGTCCAGTTGTCATCAGTCCAACACTTTTTCAATTCACTAAAAGCTCTGTCACGTCTCATCATGGCAATACGGCCCAGAGAAGTTATCCAAGATTCAAGAGGTCTTTCAACCCTCACTGTGCAATTTGGTGCATGTTCATTGAAAAATGATAATACAACTTCGTTAAAGGAATTAACCTTATCATGAGTTTTTTCTGCACACAAAATAACAACAAATCAATGGTCGATGCATCCTAAAAAAATATCTTAGGGTCCAGACGGACAAAGTTCTGCATTTTTATTAACTCAGGCTACATGCTATAGGCTTAAGGGCCTTTATTTTATAAGAGAGGTAAACGAGCTCATGCCTGAAAAACCAGGAACCGAGAATTGGCCATGAAGAGAGGCAAAGTCGGGAGAGGAGACAATGATGTGATCAATTCACGAGTCGTTAGTTTCAATGTTATGATGAGTAGCATTAACAGCCAGAAAAGAGACATTGTATGACTCAATGGTTGACCGAAGAGAACGAGAAACGAGTATCCTTAAGAAGGTCTGTATTTAAATCAGCCATGATAATGTGATGTGCATAATCGGTTGCAAGTGTTTCAAAGACAGAAGGAAGAGATGGAATATAATCGACAGCAGGAAGGCAATATACGACTCCAAGAACAGTTTTGGGAACATATACCAAGATCTCCAGAAAAAGATACTCCATACCATTTACAAGCTGATCGGAAACTGAAAGAATCTTGTATGGGATGCTAATTCGGGGATAGATGGCAACCCCACCACCCCTCTTCAACAGTCTGTCGTGACGCACGAGAGCATACCGGGGCAGCAAATAGGTCTTGGAGCTATCGCAAGACTCGAACCAGCTTTCAGATATCCAAACCGTGTGAATAGTGTTGATGGTGAAATTGTTAAGCAATTCGGTATAGCGCTTGGCATGCTTTGCACATTTATATGGCAAACATTGAAATTCCTTGTAAAGGTCTCGAATACTTTGGAGAGTTTGCTGGCCATAGTATGACCATCCGCCTGCGAATTATCCATAAAATGAAATGATGAGCCAGAACTTAAACATAATTCATAATCTGCAACATCCGCAGCATCTGATATAATATTACTATAAAATATATTAATAAAAACTTAGACAAAATAGAAATATTAAATAAATAGTAATAATAACAGACATGACTATAACAAAATAAGAATTAATAACATAAATATCACAACAAGTCTAAATCTACATAATGTTTATCAAGTCAGTCAAGACTTGTGACCCCTTTAAATTTACATAAAAGTCACATAAAAGAAGTCAAGCTTAGATTAAAAATCATATAAACTAAGTATGGTTACTTTATTACAACTTCAATAGGTATATGTTTTTATGTTTGCGCGTAATACCTTAACATACACAAAATGAATATAAATTTAAAGGAACTCTGTAGATACATACAAAATAAGTTATTTTCCATAATATTTACTTATTATATATTTTCTCTATTGTATATTAATGAAGGAAAAAGTCATTAAAACTTTAAATTAAAAAAAAAGCGAGTTAGAGGAGACCAAGAAAATTTTCAACGGCTTAGCTGTAAAAATTTTTATAACTTCGTTATGACATGAAGTTACACAAACAACTTACTATGTCACGACGAGACAGTTGACATGGATGGTAATTTGAACGTTCTTTATAAACAAATACATGATAAATCTGCTTAGCCACGCGTACATAATGCTGAACATTGAGCACGCACATTATGATAATTTTATAAATCATGAATAGTTGTAGATTGTACTGTAATTTGTGACAAGACGTGTGTAATGAGCTACAAATTGTTACATATAACTGTAACTGCTGTCTAAATAAAACGCCAGTCTTGGCTAACATTCATTAAGAAGGCAGTATCGGAAAAAATATAGGAGGAAAACTTGTGCTCGCCGTTATTGTGCAATAATGTTCGACGAGTTATCTGTCTGAACTGTTGTGCTGGGCTTGACGATAGACTTTCGTGTAAATTCTTGTTTTCTTAATTCAGATTATTTATTGCTTTGTTGTTTTTTCTCGTGAGTAGAATAACCATAGAGTGTTGTGTTCAAAACTTCATCGAAGGATTTAAAATTGGAAAAATGTTGGCGAAGCACATGAAAGTGTTCTTCTTGGCTTCTCTGGCTGCGTTGGTGCTCGCGGTAATACTGGCAGCTTGGGGGTTTCCGAGGATAGTTAGCAAGCAAATACAAAAGGTAATACCTGCTTATAATTATTTTTAAACAAGTGTTTTTTTATTGCTTAAGCGATACACAAACACGGTGGCATGAACTGAAATGAACCCTTATTACAATTCCGATTGACATATTTATTACAGCCAAAATAATACTTTTCGAAATACTTTTTTTTATATAATAAAATTGAGAATGTTTTAAAATTTCTAATGTGACAATAGTCGTAAGTGCTTTTTACAAATCTCTAATTACAAAATGCCCAACTGTCTCAATGAAGCTTTTCTGAAATTACGGGCACCATGTAGCAGTACTGAGTACATGCATAGATAAATGATTGGTCTTTTCATTATTATTGGAGACCAATCATTCATCTATGAGTACATGTATAAATGCTCGTTCGATTAGTTCACGATAAAAACTTCATACAAAAGACCTCACGTCACAGTGGCGCCAACTGGGGACGTATATTTTCACAAAAACCCTCATTAATTAAACAAAACTTTAGTGTTAGTTTTTAATATCTGGAATCGAATAACGTCTCCTAGTGCAAATGGGACCCACAACATCTGCAACGCAACAAAGTACCTCCCAAGTATCTACGCAAAAGTGTTCTCTACCTATTAGATCCGGTGATACTTGGGCGAGAACTGACCAGGAAAAATCTCAGGCCTTTACTGTATACCTAGCCGGGGTATTTAAACCCAACAATACGGTTAGTCCAGAAGATCCAGAAATAGAACAAGTCCTAAAACAAGACCTGCAACTATGCCTGCCCTGAAATCCTACTTCACCTAGGGAAATGGCTAGAGAAATTGTTCTTGATAAAGTACCCGGATTTGATCTTATCACACCACGGCTATTGAGAGAGCTCCCTAAGAAATTTATTGTCTTTGTGACCATCTTTGTCAATGCCACACTGAGAACCTCATATGACCCTACACTCTGGACATCACAAATTGTTACGATCCACAAGCCTGATAAGCCGCCTAACCAAGTCTCATTTTATCGCCCTATAAGCCTGACGCTAATCCCAATCCAACAAACTAAGGGTATATTGGCTCCATAATAAAACTAATCTGGACATATAAAATCCAATTATGGTTGTCAACCAGCAAATCCAATATCACCAGCCTCCAGAGTGCTGAAAACAGTATTCTAAGGGTACTTTCATCGGCGCCCTGGTACGCTCGCAACTCTTAAATCCACGAGTACCTGGAAATCCCAACCATATTGGATGCAGTAAAACGATACTCAACCAGCTAGTTTAATCGCTTGACAAGTCACTCAAACCCATTATCCGGTATGCTCTTGCAGCCAAACACGACTAGCAGACTCAAAAGAGCCAATATGCCAACTTTCTTAGGGGAGAGGGGGGAGAGATTCTCCAAATCCCAACCGAATTGAAACTCACCTGTACCCCTAGCACGAACCAATATCGAAAATGTCATTGTCAAATGTGTACTGATTTTTAGTTCTCGTTACGTATTTTGTGCCGCTGCTGTTCAAGTTTCCATACAAAATTTGACATTGACATTTCGGTTTGCAAACTATTCGAATTCGATAATGGTTCGTGCTAGGGGTACTGATATAGTCTTACTAGCGACTGATCGCAGGTTTAATCATGGGGGGGGGGGGAAGTTTTGTTTATATATTTGCGATATTGTCACTAAAAAAACTTGATTTTCATGAGACGAGCAAATTTGCTTTTAGTTTCCATTTAAAACAATATTTAGAATTTTGGTTTAACTTATATTTCAGAACCCAACTTATTTTTTTAATTTTAAGAAATCGTTAATTAAATTTTACTATTTAAACTGCTTATGGCAAGAAGTCATTCATTTCGTTTTTAGCCTTATACATAAACACGAAAGCTTGTGTGTGCGATTTGTGTATGTTTGTTACCTCTGCACGCCTAAGTGGCTGGACCGATTTAGGATTGGGTCAGGGCAGGCAACGGCGCGAGTGATATTTTTGGTATCGCAATTATCTATGGGTTATGGTGGCCGCTTACCATCAGGCGAGCCAGTCGTTACCAGAGTTGGTAGTCATATGGGACCAGAACTGGTGGTCCTGATGGGGACACCAAATTAATAAATTATTTTGAGGTTGCATTCGGGACCGAAGCTGTGGTCCCAGATGCCACCACAATTTAATAATTATTTTGAGTGGTATGGGTATTGGGACCACAAATATGATCTAAGTAGAAAGAAAGAAAGAAAGAAAAATGTTTGTGTTGCTATTACGTTCCTATCTTCATATTTAGTGTTGGGAAAGTACAGTCATATGAAAAACAGCTTGTATAATATATATATATATATACCTAGTCAAGTCATAAATTCTGTCACATGTTCAATCTGCGCGGCCAGACGTCTATCGCAGCACGAACGAGGTCCATGTCAATATCGGCGGCTGCCTTAAAATGAAAATGACCTCGTTGGACACGCGGAATACGGTTGCTCGCTTCTTCACTACTGTGTGCGTACACCTTATAATTTTGTTTGTTGTAGCTCTCTTCTACGGTAAAAAATTTTTCGTCCGATAGAAGAATGCCTGCCAACTGCCACCATCATTACCTCACAACGTGTGGCACAACGATGCCTGATATTAAAATCAGGCAGCGCGAGGTTCGTGCCGAATTGCAATCACTCGACGTCCGGAAAGCTAGTGGACCTGATGGCATCCCAGCAGTAGTACTTAAAAAATGTGCAGCGGAGTTGTCTCCCGTGCTCACGCGCTTGTACCAATGCTCTTATTCTTTGGTGCGTGTGCCGGAGACTTGGAGAGATGCTAATGTGCAACCGGTGCCCAAAAAAGGGGATCGCTCGGACCCGGCAAACTACCGGCCAATAGCAGTCACCTCAGTTTTATATAAAGTTCTAGGTAAAAGGTCCTTAATAACCATCTGACCCGCTACCTAGAGGATCATTCCCTGATTAATGATCGTCAATATGGTTTTAGATTTAAACGATCGACGGGTGATCTTCTAGCGTACTTAACTCATATCTGGGGTGACAGGGTATAGTGTTTACCAGTCTATATGTATGTTTGTTCCTTTATGGCACACTAGAGACCAAACGCCTGGACCGATTTTGATGATTCATACATCAATTGATTCGTCTCAATCATGGGAGTGCTACTAAAGATATGATATTAATCAAAATTCAATATGGGGAAAATTAGGCGCCATATTGTGACGAAGTAAAAAAAATAAGTTGACAAAATATGTCAGTGGGGTATCATTGTCTACATAATCGAAAATCATGTTTAGGTTTTTTACATCATTTTTTATTTTATATGATTGTTTAGGATCTACAACGCTTTAAAGTTGTATATTAACCACTTGCGCTTTTAATTTCAATCTTACGTTTGAATCGATCTTTGTTACTCTTTCTCTCAAAAAATTATTAATGGATTTTAATGAAACTTAACAATAATATAGCTCGTATATAATAATAACATATAGATAATAATTTATGTAGTTATTCAGTGTATTGTACAAAATATAACAATACGTGACACTTACGTAAAACGGAAAAAATCGGCGAGCCATTTTGGCCTGCACTGCAATAACAATAAAAGTTACATGAATATAATGTATAGTGTAAATGTATCTTTTGTGTTACCTGTTAAATGATGAAAAATAAATTATCATAATAGGTATTTATGATTTTTGAATTTTAATGAAAAACTCAGAATTATACTGTTTTTTTAACGATATTACTTAATTAAATAAAACTAGTTTTTCACGGGTTAATGCACGAAACTTTATTTATTTATTGATAGATCAATTAAAGTCTTTCGAAGGTAGCTCGACAAAATTTAATAAAAAATTTATTCCGACGTCGCAGCCTGTAAAGGCTGCGAAAAGTCAATAAATAAATAAATTTTCGTGATATTACTTAATGTTACAAATAAAGGGTTACTTAATATAATGACAAATAACCCACTTTTCGCTAGTTGGTACATACTTATTGGAATCCCTGTATTTATTAATCAGCTCGCGATAATATTGGTTTTGTAATTATACTTACTAGTGATCCACCCCGGCATCGTATGGGCGAAATTTATTTTATCGGGATAAAAAATAGCCTATGTCACTCGGGCCAAATGTATTTAAATAAATAAAAATGTAATAATAAATAATGTAGCTACCTTATAATGAATTAATATTAAAAAATCGGTTCAGTAGTTTGACAGATTATTTGTTACGAACATACAAATCTTGCCTCTTTAATATATTAGTATAGATAGTTAGGATAATAGTATTTAATTGATGAAAAAGATTTAAAAATAAAGTAAGTAATAGGTTTATTTGATTATATTTGTAAAAGTTACTTAGCATTTGTGCTTAACAGTGATACGTTAATCGGTATTTTTTTATACAAAATTAATATTTGGAAAATAATTGCCATGATTGCACTATTTATCTACTAGGCTAGTAGCAGCATGCTTGATAGGTTGAAGTACTCTTCATTTGAGCTTTACACTACCAATAAAAAAGGGTCGATCACAAAGTCAGGTCTGGTCAAACTGTTATTGATAAACGCTTTAAAAGAAAACTACAAAGAGAACTATAAATTGATAATAAATGAGATTGCTATGGTGCTCTACCTAACGTTATGAAAAATTTATTATGCACCTTTAGTTTAATCAAATATTATAAACTTTGATTTGGTGATTGCATAATTATTTAATTTAGCGATCTAAGGCAGTTGCCACCGTTGTCCAAAACAACAGACTGGAATTACTTCTTTCTTCAACCTGCTGACATGACAATGCAGCCACTGCCAATTTTTAAATAGTCGACGAATAAAAGTAAACGAATTTTATATTTACTCCTAAACTCCTAAAAAGAACATAAACAAAAAAAAGTGGTCGCCCACCTAGCTACCCATTTAGCTACCTACCCAGCCTTCTGCCTGGCTTGCTGCCTCGCTAGGTTGTGAAGTAAAAATCTTACATTTCTTTTCGCCAACCCCCCATCGGCTATACCATCTAAAAAGGACTGCCTTCCATTAAGT